AATACATTCCCAGAATTATTCACAAACATATAAAATGCAGCAATTTGTCTTCACTGGGCCAAAACTGGGAATATCTTTCCAAGAGGAGACTGTGCATATACTCAGGGGCACTTAGTGGAATTAATGGTGAGCCCACCTCAAGCCACTTCATTAGTAGAAACCTTGACAGTGAGGAGCCAAGGCTAGAAGGGACACTGAGTTTATATACTGATTTTTCTGGATAAGCTGGTTTATGAGAATATGGGATGTGGTTTTGAAGGAGTCCTTGAAACTTGTGAGCCATAACAATAGTGGCGAAGCCTTGAGAGAAAGTAAAGTTATAAGTGGAGAGAATTGATCAGGAACAAAACTTTGGTAAAATCTGGCTTCAGGGTGCCTGGAAGGTGTGAAGAGACAGAAAAAAGAGAAGTAGAGTGATCAAAAAAAGCAAAGACCAGACAAGAGTGGTGACATTGGAGAGTATTTCCAGGATGGTGACCTATGGTATTAACATCTTAAAGAGGCTGAGGAGCAAGAGAAAGGAAGTAGCAAGTGAAAATAATCACTGTATCCACCATGGACTATAGTGTGTGGTAGGCTCATGGTAGCAGGCTTATTCATGGCATTTTTCTGAATTTTTGTAATTGATTTTCCTAAAAGCCACAGCTTGCATTGCAAAATCATGCTCTCGGTTTCATTCAGACTATCCATGTGCGGACTGCAGTTAACTTTCTTTTTTTTTTTAAATTTATTTTTATTTTTATTTATGATAGTCACAGAGAGAGAGAGAGAGAGAGAGAGAGGCAGACACACAGGCAGAGGGAGAAGCAGGCTCCATGCACTGGGAGCCCGACGTGGGATTCAATCCCGGGTCTCCAGGATCGCGCCCTGGGCCAAAGGCAGGCGCCAAACCGCTGCGCCACCCAGGGATCCCTGCAGTTAACTTTCTAAAGAACTATCTGCCCTTGAGAAACTCACGTGTTTGTTGAGTATGTATGTTTGCCTCTCTTTGATTTTCTGTCCCTTCTCTGCTTAGAGGCCAGGGGTATCACTGATTTCTCTTCAGGCCCTTCTTTATCTCAGCAGATAGCCTTCCATATTCTGAAAGAACGTTTTCCAATCACTCTCCTCTGATTAAAACCTACCTCTCGTGTGCACTGCAGACTTTTAAACCAACATTTATTCAGCACCTAAGGTGAATGGATTTGAATGTAAAGGTCTATGGTTTGTCCCTAGGAGATGTTCAGGACAGTGAGTGACACGTTCATAAGTAAGTGTCATATAAGGCAGAGTGATGTCCTCTCAGAGTAGAAAAACAGAGGTGATTTGATTCCAAGAACAAACAATTTATTCTGCTAAAAGACAATCTGATAAATTTATCTGAGCTGATAAACTTATTTGATGGCTGAAAAGCCAAGATGAGGATGACATCTACATTTAACTAGTCTTTCAGTTTTAATCTAAGGTACTAAATAAAGGGATAATTAAGGCATTATCCTGAAGGGAATTTTTTTGGTTAAGGGCAACTTGTCTAGAATTTCTTTAATCAAAGTTGGTGGCCACAGAGTTAGTGATTTATTTTGTTTTAACATAAGGCTAGTCTTTTTTTTTTTTCTTTTCTTATTTGTGAGTCCTTGCTACCCTTAATTCCATTTCTTTACCATTTCTTTTTGCTTCTGCTGCTTGTGGTTATGAGCTCAGAGCAGACATTTAATGCAGATGAATGCTGTAATCACCTGAATTTGCCTAAATTTCTTATCAATTATTATTCTCTGTTCTTTGTGTCCTATATTCTTTAGCCTTTGTAAGGCCAAGATGCCTTAACATTCCCCTCAGCCTGACCAAACTTCAGATGGGTTTCTTCCTGACCCTAGGCTTCCAACCTCCTTTCCTTGGAGCTTTTACTTCAGAAACTTTTCATTGTAAATTCTTTGTCTGCCTCGTTGAGAAGTAATCTCCCAGCCTCTTGCCAGTTTTACAGCCCAGGAATATCTTTCTTTATTTTTTTCTTTCTTTTTTATTTATTTTTTAATATTTATTTATTTATTTATTTATTTATTTATTTATTTATTTATTTATTTATTTATTTATTTATTTTTCAGGAATATCTTTCTTAAGGACATGGGAGCCAAACTATTGAAGCGCAATCATTGAAGGAGATCTCTAATTCTCTGTTGAAGGGTAGAAGCCTAACTTTCTAATGGGGACAATTAGCAGGATTTTTGCAGTAGCTCACCTCAGTACTTAAAAACCCTCCTGCCTTCCACAGGAGCTGAGTCCAATCTCTCTTTTCTCTTGCACTAGGTCTTGACTGCATTTCAATAATCTTGAATAAAGTCTTCCCTGCCTTAACTCCTTCACAGGCAATTTTTCTTTGACATTTGTAATCGCCAAAACAAAGGATCTCTTTGGCACTTTCATTTGCTGTCTTAAAAAAAAATTGTTTCTAGAAAATACTTAGCTGACCAGGTTTTTAATTTCCTCCTCCTTTTTTTTTTTTTTTAAGCTCCCTCACAGAATCCTGGGGTAACTTACTTTCCAAGGCCTGATGTCAATCTTCCTTTATAGTTTCCTTGTTTTTTGTTTTTTGTTTTGTTTTTGGTGTCCTGCTGATAGAGCTGCTGAGGTAACCCATATGTTTTTCAACTATTTAACACATTCTCAATGAGATCACTTCTCTTTTTTGTATGACAGTCTACCTAACAACAACAATTCTTCCTTTTGCAATCTGCCAGTTGTCTTATCTGGCAGAATTCCACTTACTGTGGACATGTCCTCCTAAGTGTCAATCTAGAGATGATGTTCACTAGAGCATTGTTAAGGTCAGATGTGCTTTCCTCTCTGGGGCCAACATCTGAGTCTATTATTTAACACGCCCAAGGAAGAAAGACACACGTTTGTGTGGCTTGCTTGACTATTCTGATCACACTAATCAGAAGAACTCATGAAATGATTCAATAAATGCATGACATTCCTGAGAAGTTTCTATGAAGATAAAGTTACAAAGTGGGAAACAAATGCACAATTTTCCTATGTCTCTCTCCCTTGAAAAACGTGGAGGTTTTCTGTTTCTGTGGCTATAAAACTTATGTCCATCATCCTTTGATTTGGACAACTCTACCTCGGAAGACATTTGCAACTTATGTATTTGTCTGTGCCAAGGATCACAGCAGGTGCAGAAGAACTAGGACAGTGTACTTACATTTGGACAAATATTTACAAAATCATTAACAAAGCACACTTTTGTAATTCGTGCAGTGCATTGGCTGATATATCTTTAATGTAACAATGATAAATTCAAATCCCCCCAAAACTTTAGTGCTTTGTTATGTTAAATAGCAATATATTTTTCTTTTCCTGACAAAACACTGGCCCATGATGTATGGGGCTCCTGACTTTTAGTCTAAGAATCTGTGGTCTTGCATTTTGTTGAGGTGGGCAGAGGTAACTAGGTTCCTTCCTCTGATAGATATGTATCAACAAAGGTCACAATTCCAGGTGGCTGGCCATGCCAGAAGTGAAGATATAGGGCCAAACACGGCCTAGGAAATTGGAAGGTCATGGTTGCAACTCTCTGAGGCACTTTAGACATGTCTCTGAGAGTGGAAAAAGCAAGAAGCATGATTGAGATTCCTCACGTCAATTTTAATTTTCTTTCCTTTTTGTTAGTTCTGAAGCTGTCTTGGTGCCTCCAGATTACTGGGACATGATAAAGGGAAATATGAATCTTATTATCTGCTCCCGACCCTCATTCTTGCCAAATCAGTTCCAGTCTCCGGTAGAAATCTAATTTTGTCTACTGCCTTCTCAGAGAGAAAGGATTACAACTCCCTTCTGCTCATCTTCATTCCTTATGCAAGGAAGGAGAGATAAAAAGACAATAAGAGAATTGTACTTTTTTCTTTATAACACTGAATTTGAGATGTGTGCCCCCCACCATGTCAAATTCTTCTTCCTTATGAATAAGAAATGATGGTCTGTGGGATGCAAGGGTGGCTTAGTCGGTTAAGCTGTTAATCAACGAACTCTTGATTTTGGTTCAGGTCATGATCTCAGGGTGGTGAGATCAAGCCCTGTGTCAGGTTCTGTGCTGAGTGAGGAGCCTGCTTAAGTTTCTCTCTGCCTCTCCTCTGCCCCACCTCCCCTGCTTACACATACTCTCTTTCTTGCTAAAAAGAAAGAAAGAAATAATAGTCTGTAATGGAGACACTACCAACCAATTAATTATACGGCAATCTGGCATTTACACAAATCAATATCTTTATTTAATGGATTCTTCACTGAGGTGAGTAAATATAACCTTAGTTTGGTTTCCCTCATGTAGAGGTCACTTCCAAGCTCTTTAAAAAAAAAAATTATTTATTTATTTTAGAGAGAGAGCATGCTTGTGAGTGTGGGGGAGAAGCAGAGGGAGGGTGAGAGAGAGAATCTCAAGCTAACTTCCTGCCCTACTCAGTGCTCTATCCCAAGATCCTAAGATCATGACCTGAGCTGAAACAAAGAGTCTGTTGCTTAACTGACTGAGCCACCCAGATGCTCTACCTCCAAACTCTTTATTTTCCTTTTCACTTTTTAGTAACGAGTTTGTGGGACAGACTCCACCCCTCTCCATAAAGTCCAAAAGTCATTTCACAAACTATATCTAATGCCAGATATATGGCTATATGAGTGTGCTAGACAGCAATATTGTGGGGACGTGAACACGGATTTTAAAATGCAGGAGACTGTGTTAGTGCCAACACTAAATAGTGTTTACCAAGTGTTCATGTGTTCATATATACTTGGCTTCGTGAAAATTTTTTCTTTCATAGAAAATATACAATCTAGTAATAAATTATGATGATTCACTAATTTCACTCTTACCCAATAGGAAGCAAAATTGCCCAAATGTGAATTTTATACAAGGAATTTAGGATTTTAAGGAAAAGGACAAATGCCATAAGGATTAAGTAGATACTTCCAGTCTTTCTGTGAGTATTCAATGGAAACTATAGGGTGTTCCTGAGAAGTTCCATACTTACTCATCTCTGCAAACAGCTGTCTTCTTTCTGCCATGGTATTTCCTCTTTTCCCACTATCTTCAATCATTCTAGGAGGCAAAATGGTTACAATGTTATTACCCTCATGCTAATGAGGCAAACAGCCATTTCTATGTTAACACACTTGCTGTAGTTATGCCACAAACATAGACAAACTATTTAAAACTGTATTTAGAAAGTATAGCTTTACTTTCACTACTAAATTGCCATACATATTTTTTCATACACAATGTTGTTGTAATTGTTGGAGGGAGTATAAAATTTTTATTTTCTAACATAAAAATAACTACAATAGCAGATGACCTTGTGCCAAACTGAATACAACCATCCACCATCTGTTGTTAGGTGGTTCATTTCATATATAGTTTCTCTTTCAATTTTGGGAATACCTACAAAGAACATAGAGCAGATATTATGGATTCCATTAAACAAATGATGAGATAGAGAGTCTTGTGAGACTTAGTAAAGTGAATGGTGTAAACCTTGGACCCCCAAGACCAGTTTGCCTTCTGCCATATTCTGCTGCAGGTTGTCGCTGTGTACTCAAAACCGCAGTTTAGATGCAGGTTATTTTCTAAATATTGACCTTTAAGCGTTTGGAATCTGCAACAGTTTTTCTATACATAATTTCATGCAAAGTGGTTAGGTTCACATCTTTCTACTTAACCATAGTACTGTCTGCAGTAACCATTTAAAAAGTGCTATGAAAATGCCAACAGATAAAACAATAAAAAAATATTTAAAAAAATTTAAATCTGACTTGAGGAGAAAGAAGATAATGAGAAATTTATTGAAAATGTTCTCTAGACTGATAGAGGACTTTGGGCTCATATTAAGGGTTTTATAGGTGGATGTAGTCGATTTTTTATTATATCTAATTAAACATTTATTTATTTATTTTAAAGAATTTTATTTAGCTATTTATTCATGAGAGACACAGATAGAGAGTGGCAGAGACATAGGCAGAGGGAGAAGCAGGCTCCCTGCGGGAGGGGTAGGGGTGGGGGTGGCTGATGTGGGACTTGATCCCAGGACCCCGGGATCATGACCTGAGCTGAAGGCAGATGCACAACCACTGAGCCACTCATGTGCTCCTAATTAAACTTAAAAAACAAAACAAAACTAAAGTTTCCTCTCTCGTACACGCATGTACACACATACCACATACCACCGTGTTTTGATTCTCAGGTGTGATAAACAGAAGGCATAGCTGATCTTCCTGCCTGTCTTTTGATGGACTATGCTCTTTCTCAAATATGGTTCTCTGTCTATGCTACTTTTTTTTTTTTAAAGATTTTATTTACTTATTCATGAGAGACACACAGAGAGAGGCAGAGACACAGGCAGAGGGAGAAGCAGGCTCCATGCAGGGAGCCCAATGTAGGACTCAATCCTGGGACTCCAGGACCACGCCCTGGGCTGAAGGCAGGCGCTAAACTGCTGAGCCACCCAGGGATCCCCTGTCTATGCTACTTTATGGTCCAGATTCCCCTCTCCCTGAGTCTAGCTAACTGGTAGTAACCCTTCAGCTTAGTTTAGGATCTCCCTGAGAAATCCTCCTTAACTCTATGATCGGCTGGGTTTGGTGCCTTTCCTCTGAGCCTCCACAGCTCACTATCCCTTTCTCTCAATGCTGAAAAGTCACCTCACAAATCTTTATTGAGTGCCTTCTAGACTCCAGGAACCATGGTAAGTTCTAGGTGTGCAAAAATGATGAAGTCACAGTTCTTAGCCACAAGGTGCTTACACTCTAGTCAGGGAGATACAAAAGCAGAGAAGCTGTGAAACCACAATGGAGTAATTATAGCCACAGAAGTGGAAAGATTTGTGAGTGTGAGAGACATTGACAACCTGAGGGTAAATTTAGTAGAACTAGCTTGCAGAAGACAGCTCAAAAGATAATGGAGCTGTATACAAAATAACTCACCTAAGGGTAAAAGAAAATACTGATGGTGAAAAGCAATGCGATGCCAGTTATTCTCGTCAAAGAGCCTCACTTGTTGTTTCTATGAATGAAGGATTATTTGCCTACTGCCAGGAAGGGAAAGAAGGGCATGGGACAGCCTTGGTTTACATAGTTAAGGGAAGACTGTGTTCCCATTCACGATGGGTGATGATGTACCCAGAGTCTGGCCTAAATAACAACTGGAAAAGAGTAGGGTTATTTTTTTTTTTAAGAGTAGGGTTATTAATGAAATGTCTTCAATTTGGTAACAATTCACTGCTGAACGTAGTCAAGTTTCTTTCTATGATTTTAAATGTGCAGGTATGGTTGAAATACAGAGATCTGGAGAAAAACACACCCCTCCTGATTCACAGAACCACATCGCCTTTACTCCAGAGGAAGTAGGTAGATGATACTCTGACATTCACAAAATAGTCTGGATACAGCTTCCAATTTTTATTTCAAGAGCTTAGAAGTAGAGTCGAAGCAATAGATAAGGGAAAGAACCAGTGATACATTCCTACATCTGTCTGTATGTTGGAATGAGTTGAAAAGAACTGTTAAAAATAAATCACAAAGGATGGCAGGCTGGAAAGCTCTGATTGAAAATGTCAGGGAAGGAAAGACTGGCCTCCAAACCCACAGTGCTCACTGCCTGTACCCTCAATCGGTACTGTTTGTGACACCTATTTTCTAGTCAACTTTTTGTGTGTCTCTCTGTAAGGTTTTTGAGGGCAGTAACTTCAAACATTTTAAGTTCTTTACAGTGCCTAGCAAAATCCAATCAGCAATGATATGTCCAGTTAGTAATTATTGAAAAAAAATGAATGAAACAAAAAAAATTGAGGAAGGAACAGTAAGAGCTAAGTTTGCTCTCCCATGAAATGGACTTTCAATTATATTTCCAAAAACTGACTCACAGAAGAGTTCAAATCAGATCTCACTTGTTTCAGAAATTAATTATTTGAAATGAGGGAGACTAATTTATATCTATTATAATCTAGGACCATACATTTTAAAGCAAAATCTTGTCCTATGAAGCAGAAGTTAAAATAGATGCAAACTACCCTGATGTCACCGTTTGGTCTATTCATCATCATTTCATAATTAATTAACTCATAAAAGAACCATCATTAGTTAAATAATAGGAATTAATTCTCACTTCTAAGTAAAATGTGTACCTCAGAAGATCATGAAGGAAAAACTCAGTAGTGTGAAATAATAGAAAGCATGAAATATAATTACAAATATAAAAGGAAAATAACACATTTCTCATTTTACCCATAAAGTTTCCTGGAAGCAGCACTATTAGATAAAATTGAGAATATGCATTTATTACCCATTGATCACAGTCATAATGGTAAAAAAAAGGAAGGCATGCTAGTTTTACTGTTTATACAGATTTAACAGAGGAACTTATGGACAGAGTCAGCTCATGAATCAAATAGGCAAGGAGCACCACTGTGGACTCCTTAGATTCCAATTTAACTCTGATCAGTGGGACTTGAGATACATAATGCTTGAGTTTCTTCTTAGAAGGAAGAGCAAAACTTTCAGTAGGGGAAGGAGGGAGGGTTTTTGCAGAGAGCAATTTTGCTTCTGAAATTGTCACGAAGCTCTGCTTTTCATGAATTTCAGTATAACAACAGCTGCCCAAAGTCATATGGAGGAGATGAAGGGGAAAAGAACCCATCTGTGACAATACTAATGTCACAAGGTGTGTGGCTCACCAACAGGCCTAATCTGGTTTCTTTTACTCCCTCATGTAGACAAGATGCTTACAATCTCAGAATTTACCAGATTGCATAAATGTCAAAATAGCAAAAGGAACTAACAGGTAATAAATAAGTGATGAGCCCCATTAAGACATTTCCTTTACTAGGGTTCAGTCCCATGAATTAAAAACACTGTTTAATTGTGTGTGTTGTTTTCATTTATGAGAATCTATCCATTTCATTTACTTAAGAAATATTTATAAGGCAGCTATAATTTGTCAGATCCTCTGCTAGTTTCTCAAGATACAAAGATGAATAAGACATGATCCTTGCTTTTAAGAAGCTCACGGTTTAGAAGGAGAAACAAATTATTCCAAATGATAATAGTAATTTGGTGTAATACATACAATAATAAAAATATGTATTACTAAATATAGTAGTTTACTTCTGGTAAATCTGAAGGAGGCATCAAACGGTGACTCTGGGACAGAGTTTTAGAGGACAAACAAGAATTTTCCAGATAGAAATGGGTGAAGAAAGGATAATCAGCATTAGAGGTAATCATGAAAAAACCAGGGAGCTTTAACAAGAATATATGGGAACTGAGAATGGTTCAGTATTGCTGAGGGCAAGTATGAGATGCCAGGACAGACATCAGATCTAGAAGGTCTATTCTTCATGTCTAGGCAGTATAGGGCTTCCCTGTTGAAGACTGGATGCCACCCACGGTTAAGTAGGGAACTGATGTATACAGATATAGGTTTTGCCAAGATGACTCCAAAAGATCGGGTAGGTAGGAGGGTAGAGGAGGGCACACATGATTAAGAGAAGAGTCCAGTTTGCCAGATACTTTCATGATTCCGGAGCAAGAATACCATATCTTATGCTAAAGGATTGATTTGAGAGTCAGGGCACATGATCTGCAGTCCACATGAAGAATGGTGGAGGAGAAGAACTCAGCCTTTGCCCTCCCACACCATTTCATACGTTGGAGCAAACAATCTGCTGCAGTAATGACTTCATAGAAAGTGAGTTCCTCAAGTCACCTTCTTCCAGTATTGGCCAAAAGAGGGCCACAAAACTGGACCAGGAGGGCTCCTGCTTTCTGCCCCCATTTATGGGGGACAAATGAAATAACAGAGAAGAATAATGTGGGAACCAGCAAGAAATAAAGAATAAATCCAAATACAGGGCACGGAGTGTTAGAAGAAATGTGAATTGTATTTTGGCATGGTGAGAACAAGTTCACATTGAAATATCACATTCTTGAGTTACTTCCTTCATGACACTTCTTTAATCCAACATCGCCCATACTAGACACACATTTCTATGCCACATGACATAAGAAGTTTTAAACGTAAAATATTACACCAATGGTGTCTTACATTTG